TGTATATAATTTTACATGATTATATGTAATTATATATGAAATATTTTTTACCGGGAATAATTTAGATTAGAGTAATATAGCACATGCTGCAGAGTAGTCCAAAAATGATCGGAACGTGCCGTGCTAAACAAGAAAAAACATAAAATATATAAAATGATAAAAAGTGATATTTTAATTATCGAAAAAGATTCATATATATAATCTGCTTTATATCAAACCTCTTTTCCGGATAATATGTTTCTATCGCAGCTTTCGAAGTGATCCAGAATTTATCGGCATTTCTCGAGCTAAACAAGAAAAATATATTAATTATATTATAATTAAAATATTATAAGATATAGATGGATCAAATAATTAAGAGAAAATATAAGAAATTAATAATAAGAATAGAATATATAGTGAATTCATTCCGGTTTTTCATCTCTTTCTTTTCAATCATCACAATATGAAAGAGAAGGAGAAGATGGTTAGCCGTATTGTTTCTTCTCTCTCGTTTTTGTTGACCGTATTTGATAATATAGTGTTTAGATACGAACGGCATAATCCATGCTTTATGTCTTTAGTCGTATTTAAACATAAGTACTTTTTGTTGAATAGGTGTCTTGTAAATAATATTTTTTATTGTATAAAAAAACTCAGCACTAATTATATGGAAAATTAAGTTCCAAAGAAATGAGTTAATTTTCATATAATATTGAAGCTTATGATATAATAAACAAAATATGTTATAGATATAAGTTTTACATATAATTAGTGTAGATTTCTTTTATACAATAAAGAAATACTATTTACAATGAAGTCTGTTAAAAAAAACATAACTTATTTTCAATATAGATTAATCATGCTGAAAGAGATTAAAATTAATAATGAGTCCTCTTTTTGTAAGGAAAAAATATAAAATTACATCAATGAAATACGTAAAAGAAAGAAAAATGGCGGAAAAAGAAAATAAATAATAAAAAATGAAAAAATGAAAAACTATTGTTTAAGTAGAAAATAATGTTAGGAAATGATACTTAAGAAAGGAAGTAGAGAGAAATATCAAACACACATTAGCAAAGAGAGATTGGGAAACAATTATAGTTATTTGTAATTGTGAGTTACAGTTAGTTTTTTCAGTAACTTTTACTTAAGACAACGATATACATTGAATTTCTTCTTGCTAGATTGCTAGTTGGATTAACATCTTGCCACCGTATTTGGTATATGCGATGCTGGCACTGTCAACACCGCAGCCAATACAGTGCAATGGCAAGATGCTTATCCAGCTAGTAATTTAATAGAAAAAAGCAGCTTTAATTTAATCTTTTTTTTTAGCTGTAATTTAACTTAGTTACGTTTTTTTTAGTAATTAGTAATTAATTTGAGTTACTTTTACAGTTACTTTACACAGTTTAAACTTATTTGTCAATTTAATGTGATTAATTAGAATTTGAACAGTTGTATTATACTGCCACTATTGGTTGCGTAGAAGACAATAATTTAATTTTGCTTATTGTTAATGTCCACTGATTCTTTATCTTTTGTAAATAAGCAAATTATCACTGTACGAATATCACGTTAATACTAGCGTCTTTACAATTTAATCCTGATATTCATTGTCAATATCTATTGATCCTTTGATACTGTAGATCTCTAAAGGATCGTTTATAATGAAAGTAATATGGAAAATAATATAATATGTATTACAATAAGTTATAAACAACCGTAAATATTGACCAAACACAATCAAATATAAGAAATATAATTATGATATCAATTTCTTAAGCTGACTGCTTATTACTTTTATCGTAAATGATCCATAAATCAAATATCGTAAGGCAGTAACAACACATAAGAAAAAAACGAAGTAGCTAAACACAATACGTTAAAAGTCTTGTCTTATATTTTTCTACTATGATTAGCAGATTTACTTTACTACAGTTCATATCTTAGAAATCTTATGTTTTTCTTATGAGTTTCTTCTAACTTAATATTTTCTATCTTTTAAATAAAATTGTTTAACATGTATATTATATATGTATAAAAAAAACTTAAATTAATCTTTTTTTTGACCCTAATAATATTAAAATATTATTTATATTGTTCTGTAATGATAACAGAAAAACTCAAAAGTTACATTTTGAATAACGTAATTCATTACTTTTTAAAGTTGATAATTTGTAACGATAAGTAGTTTTTTGAAATAAAAAAACCATAACCTGTAATTATGTTTACAAACTTTTTTGTCTTTGATCAAAAGATATTTAAAAAAAAATGAAAGTAAGACAATGAAAAAAGAATATATTGCAAATTTTGTTAACAAAACCAAGTTTATAATTTCAAATAAAATAAGTATAATAAGAAAATTTATTTGAGAAAGAAATACGAAAGAATAAAAACAAAAATCGATTGATAAAGAAAAAAAAGTATTATTTTATCGAATTAAACAATTTAAATATAAATGAAAAATAACAAAAGAAAAATAAAGAAAATACTTTACGATTTATTTACTTTATGAATATTATTTTTTATTTACTTTACGAATATTATTTCTTATATTTATTATGTTTGATTTTTTAATCCTTATCTATTCATTACGATACTTACTGCAGATTTAGAAACTTCCTCATAGCTTTATGAAACAATTCATTGGAAACTGCACGTTGTAACATACGTAATATAGCAGGTCCTATAGCAGTACATAATGAAAAAGATAATTATTTAATGTAGGAGAATCTTCAGCCTCCTAATAATGAATTTGATCTTGACATTTGTTGTCAAAGTCATGATCCTGAGTGATCTGAGAAGGTTTAAAAGAATTAAAAAATTATTAATCAACAAAATTGAGTGTATATGATACACATTTTAACGATTAATTTTATTCCTTTATAGAGTGAATTCTGGCAGCAAAAAGATTCTTATTACATGTATAGAGTATCCATACTGCCAGAGTTTTACAATTTTTTAAATTTCCGAATATGAGGAATTTCTTGTTAGTAAAATTAATCTCCTGTAAAAAGTGTTCATCATATCAAATTGATACTTGACAAATTTTTAGTTTAAAATAAGGAATAGCTTAAGCAGTACTTCATTGCTCAAACTCGAGTGCTTGTATAAGTTATACAGATGTAAACTTCATTAAACAGTGAATGGTATGGGATAGATTTTGCTGCGTGTTATAAAATGTAGGGTAAGATTATCTAAGAGTACGCACTTATTCTTTTAAATTGTATTATTTACAGCATCACTGTTTTCACAGGCTGGATTAAATTT